TGGATGCCAGGCTTGAATTGCGTATTCGACATGGGGGCGAACATACGCACTGAGCATTTGTCGAAATATGGAGCTGTTTATTTGTCCAAACGCCCGTCGCAACAGCCCGACGTGTTGGTTTCCAGTCTTCGAGGCCTTTTCGGATTGCCTGGAGCAACCCAAGTCATCTTGAACCAGGACACCCAAGTCACGTTCGACAGCTGATTGTTGTAGTATATTCGTTCCGAGCCGGTATGAGTAGCTGCTCTGATGTCGGATGGAAAGCACCTTGCATTTACTGACGTTGAAATGCAATAAGTTTTGGGTTGACCATTGATACACCGTATCTAGGTCACTCTGAAGCAGATGCTGGTCGGCCTTCGCCTGGATCCTGCGCCAAATCTTGACATCGTCGGCAAACATTAGGAAGTTTGAAGCGATTCCCTGTGCAAGGTCATTAATAAACACCAAAAACAAACCTGGACCTAAAATTGAGCCTTGCGGCACACCACACTCGACTTGTATGGGGTCCGATAAAGAGCTCCGAACTCTGATCACTAAAGTCCATTGAAGTAGAAAGTCGGCAATCCAGTTTAAAGGAAGGTCGCCGATCCCGTAATGCTGGAGCTTGGAGAGTAGTATCCGATGGTCTAGACGATCGAAAACCTTCGAAAAATCCAGGTAGATCACATCAACACCTCCAGCGTCAGTTGACTCCGTCCAATTAATGTGTGCGATTAGTAAATTGGTTTTGCATGACCGATGTCGGCGGAAACCTTGATGCTCAGGCTTGATGATGTTACGTTTTTCCAGCTAGCACACCAGTGCATCGGCAACTACGGAATCCATGACCTTGGATAGCATAGGAAGAAGGGATACTGGGCGGTCGTTGTAGGGATCAGTTCTGTTTCCACCTTTGTGAATCGGGGTTATTATTCCAGGCTTCCACATAGCCGGAACTTGATTCTGATTTAAGCAGCGCTGGAATAACTGAGCTAAACTTCCTGCCAGTTGGCTTACTGCTGCTTCCACTGCCTCTGGACGAATGATGTCGATACCTGGCGAGTTGGTTTGAGTAGAGACGTCAGTTTTTGCAATAAAGCCTCCGCGGTAAAAGTGATGTAGGTTACTCCTGGCGAGAAGACGACAAATGCTGGCACATCGCTTGGTGGTAAAACCCTTTGAAACCTGGGGGCATACTGCATCCCCAGGGCGTATGCTGCTTCCATAGCTGTTCTTGTTGGGCCATCAGCCGTCCGGAATTTCGGAAATCCTTGCCTCAACTTTCTTAGGCTATTGACGTGTTTGTGCAGCAGTTTGTGGTTAGCACTGAAGGGTATTGCTATGTTCTGCTGATAGGCGGCTTTGTCTTCTCTTAGCAGTGTAGTACAATGGCTACGTTGGACTCCGTATTTGTCCCAAAGTTCTGATGCTGGAGCTTATTTCTACACTCGACATGCTACGTTGGTACTGTCATACATTTCCCAGTTCTGCTCCTAACGAAAGTAACTGATTTACACACTTCGCAAACTTCTATCTCTGAAGGGTCTGCAATCAGCTGACTGAATTTTTTGACGAACTCGAGTCAGGCGACTTCCGGGTGTGCTTCGTCAAGGAACCACCAAGTCGTGGCGCTGACGAGCTAGGTTACTCGATCGTAGCTTGTGATAATTCGCACAGTCTCATCGTTCTCATTCCGATATTCTGCATACCAAAGGAAGTTGAAACCCACGACTGCGTGATCACTGCGAACCAACGGGCAGTCTACGACCAACACATCAATCATTTGCTCCTCGTTGGTAACCAAAAGTTTCAGCACAGATAGCCTGTTACCAGTTCTGAACCAAGTGGGCATAGTGATGTGCTTCTAAAGAGGAACACTGATTAAGGGATCATGTAGATCAGCGCTCAATTGTTCTCCGATCATGGCAGGAGTTTATAAACGATGTATGTTGAAAATCAACCAGCATAAGTATGTAAGTGTACTTTCGCTGTAAACTGCATCTTAATGCAGTTGTAAGTTGGTAGTCGCTTTCGAGTATAGAGTTAGGAGGCGGTACACCAAGACAATAAGGCAAGCGTCTCTGCCATTTAACTGCGTGCGGCACCAAACAGATTCGGGGAACTGCGAGTCTGAATCCGCCGTAGCATCGCACCGTAAGTCGCTTCGGTAACACAGGATTACCCCACCTCCTTTTGTGAGCCGATCGTTCCGCATCAGCGACATGACCGTTAGCGAAACTTCAGCGTCCGTCATTCGGTCTGTAACCACTTCTCGTTGATACCAATGACATCATATGACCCAGAAGTTTAGCGATCTTTCAATTCGGCCAGCCTATTTAAAAGACCATGAATATTCGTATATAAGCATTATACATCTCGTACTGTAACATTTTATGTACGCGCTGCTATACTAGTCTTTAAACAGGTAGAATGCCGGTTCAGATTTGTCACACGCATCCGCCTCATTTTTTGTGCTTCTTACATACTCTGATGACACCGTGCGGTAATAAGTTTTGTTATAGCAAAGTTTAAATGTGTTTCTCCACCATTTCTTGCACCTTCGCGTTCCACTTCCGTAATGTTTCTCTACGTAGTACTGGCAGTACACCGTCTACCCTGAGGTATATTTTGGCTCTCCTAATGAAATCTAAAAGTTTGTGTGCATGTTTGAAGATGGCAGGTACAGAAATGCAGTCCGTCGAGCATAACAAATGGCTACCCTGATACCAGGTTGCATAGGCATATATACAAACCGTCCGTTACCGCGATGCCTGTCAGACAGCAACAAGACTGAACCCCCTGTTTATCTAATAGCCGGTCATAAATACTGGCAGAAATCAAATGGATGCACGTGGTAACAGAACCGGTGACACAATAAACATGTGGAAAAGTCCGGAAGATGCATTCGGTCAAACGAGTGAACAGTCATGTGATACATAAACAGGTAGACGTCCATGTCGTGAAATACTGGCAAAGTAATTGTTTTCTTTTCCACTGCAAAAGAAGGTGAGGTACCCGTATATTCATGAAAACAGGCTCCAAAACCCGAAAAGCAAATCTGTTAGCTGTTTTAGCTTTTACTCTAAATTGTTGTTCTTCCATGCTAATGACGAACAGCTGATTGGCCATAATTATTTTATCGGATCTGAGTATGACCAACGCATTAACATACGCAGACCAATATTATGACCTTTGTCGTTAAGAGCAAATCTTATGACGTGTCTGTCCATCCCCTCAGTGAATCGTGATATTGGGATTCGATCGTTCCAACTTTCACTTGCTCATACATCCTCCTGTTGCATGGGAAGAAGTGTAGAGGCATCGCTGAAGTGACATGCGAATGACTTCAGTCGCAACTGCTATCCAAATGTGTGCCACGGATAATTTCACCAGCTATACTTTCATAGACGAGCATAAAGCGAGGTGAATAAAAATAACGGTTTAACCGTAACCAATTCATAGGTTACTGAGTATCTGAATAAAGTTGCTGGATATTGCTTGCGACGGTGTGAATCTCCACTAATATTTATGAGGTAATACTGCAGTTAATTTCACAGGCTGTATTTAAGAATACCTGGAAGTACCACAATCTCAATGGTAAAAATGTTTTGTGTAGTTATGGTAATCTATACACTACCATAACGATAATTGTAAAGCCTTGTTGTTTCGTGATACGTGTTTGTAGACTCACTGGCTCTAATTCTGTCCTTTTCCTATTTCGTTAGTTATATCATTTCGGGAAGTTTCGTGAACTTATGTCAAATGCTGTAGTTCACTACCATCTTGCATCGCTTTGTATTGAATAATAAAAACCATGGAAATTTTTATTGGCTTGCTGAAAAGGGAGTACGTTTCATTAAGAAGTCAAAGCGGCTTACGAAAGACGCAACAGCCCATCAGTGCATTAGCATTAACATAACAATGCACAATACGACTACAGCTGTAAGGCATGCTCAACAAAAATTACAAGAATCAATTACCACAAGCAAATAGGTAGGTGCAGCTACACGATACCAATCACGTCCCATGAATTATCTGGAATCCGGAGTACCAACGATGTCATTTCACACGTACGATCCATATTCGCGCATCGTTTCCGTTGAAAGCATATGTCGCCTAGAGAGTGTAGGCACATTTTCCGGTTCACATCATACCAGCAAAAATCTAACTATATCGTTCTCTGGTGGCACAATTAAGTCCCATCCACTTTCCAACCGGTCGGTGGTCAAGTGGTACGAGGCTATGGTTTACAATCCTAAACTTCACTGTTTCGAAGCTGGGTAGGTGCGGATGCTCTTGCAGTATTCACAACCCGTGGACTACTGGCCGTGTTTGCGTGGTATCGAAGTGTCGATGCGGTGTACCGGCGTATTAGTGGTACAGTTTTCGCCTTTATATTCTATCAGCTCAATTTGAATTATTCTTTCTAACACAAACTTAGCCCCATACGCATCAAGACAAATAACCTAAGCCCCTTGATAGCTAGAAACTGAAACATAACCGCAATCATCACAAAGTTACAATTCCTTGGGGAAAGGAAATAACAGTAGTCACGACGTCGCTCTAGGATTCACGGTAACGGAAAAATACCGACTATTTTAGCCCTGACAAATGGAGTACTTACAGACCAAAAATATGGCTTATCCGAAGATACAAGCCTAGAACGACTACTCTGGTATGACAATATCCACCCTCCTGGTTGGCCCAGCAACCGAAATGATCCCTTCTTCCTTGGCCACTTGCGAGATACCAGACTGGTGCCTAATGGATTACTAAAATCAAAGCAGTACTTAAATGTGCATACGATTTACGGACTTCAAAGTTTTAATTGCAGTAAAGGCAATTAGCACTGGGTGCAAATGTTTTGTTAAAGTGGGGTAGTTAGTTGTCTTAAATGAAAAGACAGCTTACTGCTTATCTGTGATTAATTCTCTGACACACCTCCCTAGTTTTTCGGTCAATGTTTTCTGCCGCTAGACTGTGAGCCTGCTAAGCAACTTGCTCCCTTCTTTTTACAGTGTGTCGACAACGAAAAAATGACTCCTCTATTTCTCGCAATCCGTCTCAATCACGTCGACATGGTCAAATATCTTCTCAAGTGCAAGGCCAACGCTTTATTCAGCGATGACAATAGATGCAATGTTGTGAGTGCCAGTCAAACATTATTTGTTTTCGATGATAGTTTTCAGTCGAATACAGCAAAAACGATGCCTCTCAACCATCCAATGCATGATGCGAAAGTCAGTACAGAAAAGCGTTTAACCTGTTTTCCTTGAAGAGGACTAACTAAGTTGTCGTTTTTAAGCTGACAATCTGTATGAAACGCTTTATACTTATTATGTTGGTTATTTATGGTTGCTTCCATAATATGTAAGCTGATACCTAGGTATGCTTATAGAGCTCCGAGGGAACCCTGGGTAATTGTAACACTTACTGGTGCCTGCAATTGGTGGTGTACACGTCCTGTTGTTGTCCGAAAGCTTAGGAGATCAAAAGTTTTCAAACCTGTATCCCCCACGTTGGTCACCGCCAGCTCAAAACACCTGCATCGTTGCCGTGTTTTCCCTACCTCCTATTGCATCACCGGCGGTAAAAGACGGGTAATGGTGCACTGTATTTAGCACATGGAGGTTTGCTCTGTGATCCGCAGCTAACAGTAGCCACCATGCGAGGATGTGAGCACAACGGTTGGCGGGTAGAATAATGTATCCATTTGGTCTAGCTAGCTTTTTAGCTAGGTAGCTACCTTGCATATTTCTCGACGATGCCACTAGAAGAGCAGATTGTAAACTGCTGCAATTATTCTATTCTATCGCATAATTAGTTTAAAAATATCGGAACCAATACGATATTGATTTATGTTACATATTAACTTGAAGTACTTGTTGGTTTTTCAAACTGTCGATGAACCAGTGTTCTTTACAAACACCCTACAAATGTTATAGCTAGGAAACAAAAGAAAGAAAAGGAGCTGAGAGCCATCATATATCATACACACAAGTGGATACGTGTGTTGTTCGTAATTCTGTCAGGCAATATCGGCACCGAGCTCGAGCGTTTTTTTAGGGCTTGTGATATCCCAGAAATTTTGGTTGCGTTTTGAACAGTCAGTTGTTCAGTAAGAGCAGTATTAGTTATAAACATTATGTAACAAGTCCGGATGTCTTTTGGGTGTCTGCTGCAAAGCTTTTGATAGTGGATTAGAACGAAACATTTTCTACTTATTGTCGTGCACTTCGGAATCGTGACCTTTGTTCCTGTTGCGTAGCGAGTTTCTAGTTTTCAAAATCATGAAGGCATTTGATTTTGTAAGGAAGGCAGAGATTCAACATCTATCTCCAGAATCAGATTGGGTCAAGTCCAAGGTTATCACAACCCACTCTGTATGTAATTTTTGAGGGGTAACCGCGCAGCCTTTTCATGAAGCGACGCTGGGCCCTCACAAGAGCACGCTGGTTAGACATTCGCAGCCTCCACTGAACTACTGAACAATATTCCATACTGGGTAGTCCCTACACTTTGTAGAGCCAGCAGCGAGATCCACTGAGGCGAAAAATGATAGCCTAGGCTTACGAACCTTGAAGGGTTAAAAATGGCAGAATATCACACACCCAAATCACGAACTGCTCTTCATTGTGATTTTTGTATACTTGACATTTGTACGACGGCCACGACAAAGGACATTTGCGACAGGTGCAATCAGGATTCAAGTGCAGACGAATCATCCTGATTGTGACTTACGTTTCCCGGTATAGTTGCAGTTTTCTGTGTGTGGACAACTTTAATGTAATCTGTAAACAGAAAAGGATCATCCTGCCTTATCCTACCGAATATATAGTATATATAGATGAAAAACGAAATGGTATACCAAAATTCTATTGAATTACCCTACTGTTGACTAATTTCGGTTTGGAGAACTGACAACTGATGTGCGTCACCTGCTGTCTGCCAAATACGTATGAGGACAACTAAGAAAACGCTGGCTTGCCAGTGCATATTGCCTTCAAAATTTTTGTGTAGTCACCACTATGGCAGTATCAAAAAATTCTATACTCAAAAAAGGAGTACACTCTTGTTTATGTTTTCTATGGCAGCCGTTTTTGGATTTAAGACGTATGTTTGACATTTTGCGCAGGATCGACTTTGCAAATGCCGCGTTGTGACTTGCTGACGATGTTTTCTTTCTTCAAAAAGACAAGTAATTTAGCTTTAAGTTCCATTATTGTAGCTATGATAGGAGTGTGATGCGGTGAACAGCTTTCACGTTGTATGTGACTCAAATTTTACATGGCAGAATGACAGCACTAATCTTTCTTTAAGAGAACGTAAAAATGTTAAGCAAAAGCAGAGGTAAGTCGTTCACTTCAGTGCTTAATAAACATAAATGGCGTTCCTAAGGTACTCTGTAAGTCGAGCAAAATAAGCAAGACAGTTGTACCTTTATCTGTGAAATAATGGATTTCACTATGCAAAGGCCATACGAGTTTAGATATACTAGAAGTTTTGGGTTGTCTGAAAGGAGAAAAGACGTTACTTCCAAATTCACCATATTCGAGTTGCAGCTACACACTACCTGGCTGGGGTCTCCTTGACTTGTACACATACAGTAATTTTTCTAACGCTTTCGAAAACGTATTCGTCTTAAGCCCTTTATCCTGCGTTACCAGTGGCATATGGAGCATGTAGACACTAAAAGTGCTTCGTAAAATCACAAGGGTCAAAGTAGTGTGCTTATGCAAATTGACGCCACTATGAGAGTAAATGTTGGCTGTAAGCATACCTGGCATAATGTTCAGGCAATTAAATGCTTCCTATAAAATTATAACTCCGGTTTTCTAGGTGACCTGGACAAAACATTGGAATGGAGGGCGAGAACATAGACAGTTGAATTCCAGTTTGTGCACCAGGCAATGGAAAAAGAGATGGCGTCAGCACGAGGTCACCATCCATTGCGTGCCGGCTAGACATAACGCCAAGATCGCCCGAACCTAAGCACATTTGAAACTCTAAACTGCGATTAGAAGGCAGAAGCACTAGCTGTTCGGTTACTGACTGACGAGAAATTGTGCAGCCAAGCAAGAGTAGCAGACAGGAAAGAGTAAACCACAGTGACCGATTGATTCAATGGCAAGTAACGATTTCATTGGGTGCGATTCCTTGGGTGATTTCTTTTCCGTGGCTTTCTTCCTTAAGCCTTACGTAAACGTCTGGTTCACATATCGAAAGGGAAAAAGACGCTCGCTACAGATGCTACTCGCAGATCCTCTGAACGAATAGTTCAACTCACAAGGTAGTGGGAAGCAAGTGTAGCTCAGGTGTGTGACTACTTGGTTGCGCATAACCTATGTGAGGCTAGTCGCACGCAATGCTAGAAGAAGCAAGAGAATGTCTGTGTGCTATTTGCACATATCAATGGAAGCCATTTTTAAGCACTCATAGCGTGAATGGGTCGCGAGTCGCAATCACAAACTGGACCGCGATTCACAACGCAGTGAATCTTGGGCAATTCGAGCATGGATTGTAATGTCCAGTATCAACACAGCGGATGCGTCCCGGATACTTATAACTCTTTGACCGTAATCACTGATCTAGCTTACTGGCACCCAAAACAGAATTTAGTAGTAAAAGGGTGTAGGTTGCTACGAGAGTTCGTATGTTTATTTTACAACCGGTTCAACTTCGTTTTAACATAAATGAGTAAATTGCTTCTTGTATACCGCAAACGTCTATAAGCAGCTGCTTGATGTGTAATGATGTTGCAGCGACTGCGCAAAGGATACCTCAAAAGGTCGGTCACTTGACCACAATAGGCAGCTCAACTTGAAAACAACCCACTAATCTGGAGTTAGCCGACACTGCAAGCTTACGTAATCGGGAGCTACAAATATACTGTCTTCGAATATCCCCATGCATAGACAGAGTAACCGTGACGACTGCAAGGAACAGGCAAGCTTCAATAATGTTTGGTTGGTTAGACAAGCATCTCCTGCTGTTGTAGCTTCTCTATTACTGAATCATACTTGGTAGAATTTGGGGATTCCGAGATCCGTCACATCAATAGGTTTATCCATTTAACTTATTAACGGTGCATAGTGTACTGAAATCTAGTCAAATAATGTAGATCGCACAGGGTTTACTAGGCTTTGAAAAGGAGGGATGTGATTATCTTGCAAAATATTGAATTGCCGTTTAGACTTTTGACACTATTTTGTGCTACTCACAAAATGGTTGTGTTTGAAATTCAGAATGCGCTCGTTGTGATGCTATTAAAAATAAGGTGTTATAGCTGACGGGGTTAGAATGTTCAAGTTAACTGCTTTACAACTGACAAACGAACTCACCACAATCAGTGGTTTGCTTACTCGGCGACACCGGTGCCTGTGCTAAACCAATGTGATACAACCAATACCACTCTATGTGAATATGATGGTGGTATACACCGAAAATGCCAGGGATGCTGATGCCAATGAAGATGGCAACACGAAGAGATTAATCAATCAATCTACAAGGGTGTAGAAGAGGTCTTTATATGACATAAGTCGCAAACACATCATCCGTACTCACTGTACCAGCCACCACATTTCTGGAAGCGGGACAAACATTGACCGTGCTTTACGCGAATCGTCAGCAGTGCACGCTTCATTTGTTCCTTCTGGGGTTTATCCTGGCAACCTGACTCTTACGGGTCATTTTTCATGCACGCTGAACCACAAGCGAATGACGACGATTGACATGGCTAAGTCACTAGGTTTGCTAATGCAAGACTCAGTCTGCACTGATTTGCACTCTGCTGTTGTATTGCCGTCTTGCGAAAAGAAAAAGTAGCTATTCAGCGTTTTCCAAGACATGTAACCATAGTCTGACTGACCATAGTGTAGATGAAATAAGGTTATTTTTTCAACTCGTTTTCGTAAACGCTGCCCATGAAACCACGATCCGTTTGGTTAATGCACTGGGAAGGCGAATGTCTGCTCACTGCTTTTGTCAGCGTTACATTTATTGCATTTTATGGTGGTCACATCTTAGTTCAACTAGATGAATCATTTTTCTGTACCAGGCACAACAGCCTTTGTTACATGAAACAAACGGTTCACCAACACACCTCTGCACTGGCCAAGATTAATTGCTCATGCTACATCATTCA